GGTAAATTATGATTTTCTTTGTATCTTCTTACGATTACATTCGAGTCTCTCTGATTTTGATCACTTTTGATTGATCGTCATGTGTCGAAAATCTCGTTTTGTTATAGAAAATTTCGAATGATTTGTGAAAAAATCAAACTTGTTTTTGTTGATGCATGTTCTTATCAGAAATCGATTTCGTGTTGAGATCAGTCTTATTAAGGCGGCTAATGATTATGAAGTAAGGGTTTTTGTGTGGTTCTTTATAAGTAATCTGAAAAAGGGTTTTTTTTTTTTTAATTAGCTTTCTTTATAACTCCATTAGTGAGTTTGAGCTCTGTTTTATTAAGGTTCAACAGTAAGTAAATTTCAATAAAGTGTGTTCAAAGTTCTAACCTTTTTTTCTTTTTATATTGTGTGTTTCTGGGTTTGTGTTGGTATATTCAATCAGTGAATGAGTTTTAAGTTTCAAAAGTAAAGTACATTTTGTTCATATTGTGTGTTTTCAAAGTTTGAACCTTTTCTGTGTCTTCTGCAGGAGATAGAATCTTCTTTGTCTGAACATGTTTCTCTTTTTTTGGGGGTTTTCATGGTAGATTCTATATGTAATTCAATTTCGAATCTCCTCTTCTCTTTTTTTATATTCCATCTTCTTTCTGATAGGCCAGTCACAGAGACATATTGTGTTTACAGTTTTGTCCATACCAAAAGTTGTCTGTTTCTCACTGGTCTATCTTGATCAGAGAGAGAAAGAGCTGCTTTGGTTTTGTTTCATATTTTGCACATTGGAATTTGATCACTAGAGGTTGCTCTGTTAAAAAAAAGCTGATGTTTTCACTTTTCACTAATTGGCCTTTTGATGATTGTTCTTCTTGTAGGTAACTTTGAAGTTTGAACTATGGATGAAAACTGCGAGGAGATTCAGGTGCCTATCGGAATTCTAAAATCGATAGGTTTTAGCATTTCGAATAACAAAGATCGAGTAAGTTCTTCTTCCCTGGAATTTCAAGTAATTAAAGAATTTCAGATTTGTTTAGTGATTAGATTAAGCAAAAATTTAATGTTGTTTATAGGAGAAAATGGCTGTTATGGAGGTTGAAGCAGCGAATCAGGTGACCGATTCACGACTAGGGCTCCCGAATCCGGATTCGGTATGCAGAACATGTGGCAGCAAAGATAGGAAAGTTTGCGAAGGTATGTTAAAGAATCCGGTTTTGGTGATACTGATTTTTGTAGAACATCATTAGAGATCAGCTTATTTATGATTAATTCGATGTTTTTGTTTCTGTTTAGGGCATTTCGGGGTTATTAAATTTCGTCACTCGATAATTAACCCATATTTCCTTAAGGAGATAGCTGCATTGTTGAACAAAATCTGCCCGGGCTGTAAATACATAAGGAAAAAGCAATTTCAGGTTCACTAGCTTTTTACAAATCCTTTTACGCGTGTAAATGTCGGTTTTGCGTAAACTAATACTGCCTTTGCTTGTTACAGATTACCGGAGACCAGCCTGAGAGATGTCGATATTGCACTGTAAGAGTTCGGTTTTTCTGGCTCATTTCTCTGTTAAGGAAAAATAAAAATTTGTTCTTATCTTACAGTGAATTTGTTTATATCTTTCAGTCAAACACAGGTTACCCTCTAATGAAGTTTAGGGTAACCACTAAAGAAGTCTTTAGGCGATCCGGTATTGTCTGCGAAGTCAGTGAAGACAATCTACTGAAACTCAAGAAACGGGGGGTATTAGTATTACCTACCGACTATTGGAGCTTTTTGCCTAAGGACTCCAATATCGACGAAAGCTGCTTGAAACCAACGAGGCGGATATTAACGCATGCACAGGTAAAAGAGTGAAACTTGTCATCCAAAGAC